GTTGCATTGGTTGTTGTTGCATTGGTTGTTGTTGTTGTTGCATTGGTTGTTGTTGCATTGGTTGTTGTTGTTGTTGCATTGGTTGTTGTTGCATTGGTTGTTGTTGTTGCATTGGTTGTTGTTGCATTGGTTGTTGTTGTTGCATTGGTGGTTGCTGCTGCATTGGTTGTTGTTGCTGCTGCTGCTGCTGTAACTGCCATTGCTGTTGCTGTTGCTGTGGATGCTGGAGGTGCACAGCATCATTGCCTGTTTGCCCCTCCCCTTGCTGCAACTGCCATTGTTGCTGCAGCTGCTGCTGTGGTGCATCGCTTGTTCCCGGTCCGTCAGTGACTACCGGTGACGCTGTGTGTTCGCCCGCCTTCGCCGCCACGACTTCACGTACATGCGCGTCGATTCTGCTCAAAGCCGTCATATCATCAGCAGCAGCAACAGCTCCACCAGTGCCAACGCCCCGCTGTGCACCTGTCATCTGCACCACAGCTTCTTCGCTCAGCCCACCACCACCGCCATCAGCGGTGGTTCCGGCAACCCGTGCATCAACACTGCCGTCACGCTCGGCACGCGCGTGCGCGCCGGTGGTTGTTTGCTCGTTGCCATCGGGTAAATCCCCCTCGTCGTCGTCGCCGTCGCTGCACGCCTCCATCGGCACGGGAAGCAATTGGTCTGGCCGTTGCTGGCTGCCAGCACCATCGTGTACAGTGCCGCTTTCAGGTTGACCGGGGTTTGAGCGAGCGTTCACACGATCATCTTCGCCATCACCACGTTCACCCCGCAGACGGCCAGCGCCATCGCTGGCATCGTCGCCATCACAGCCATTGTCTTCTGCCTCGTCTTCATCTCCACCACCGCCACCACCAACATTATCACCGCTTGCACTCACTTCATCATGGCCACCATCATCGCCATCATCGCGGAGGTGCGTGTGCTGCAGCACTGCCACGACCTCGACCTCATACTGACGCCTCCACGCCGCTCGGGGCGCCGCCGCACACATCCACTCCTCACAGCTCAGCACACGCACCCAGCCTGAAGGGGATGGCAGGCAGCCAGGCACATGCTGCTGCTGCTGCTGCTGCTGATGATGATGATCATGTTGAGGCCGCTGCTGTTCGTGCTGTTGTTGGTGTTCGTGCTGTCGGTGTTCGTGCTGTGGATGGTGTTCGTGCTGTTGGTGTTCGTGCTGCCGCTGTCCGACGTCAGCCACGTTGCCATGGTTGTCCGAGTCTCTATTCCCGCCAGTGCGCTCTTGCAACCCTCCTCCTTCGAATTGCTGCTTCGATGACGCAAGTGTCCTCACCAACGTTACAGCGCCATCATCACCGCGAACAACAGCCGCCCCACTACCCCTTCCACAACCAGCGTCATCATCATCATCATCATCATCATCATCGTGGTCGTCGTCATCATATTTACCAGCAACATCATCATATTCACCACCATCATCATCATCGCCATCGGTCAGCAATGCAGCCCTGCCATCTCCACTGCCAGGACGACTCTGCCACACGCGACGCGGATGGCGACGACGACGACGATGATGATAATGATGATGATGACGACGGTGGTGGTGCGTGACTGCGGACAGGAGCATGGTGAGCTCCTCGGCAGGGGTGATGGCGCTGTCAAACAGCACCGCATCTGAAGTCGCAGGGAGCGAGGCAGTCACATCATGCCCATCGCCACCATCGCCACCATCATCGACGCTGCGGTCCTGTCTGGCGTGGCTGGCCTGTGTCGACGCATGCTCTGCTGCGCGTGCACCGTCACGGCTGTCCGGTTGTATGGCTGATGTCTGAACATCACGCGCCATCATGCTCGCCTGTCTCCTCGCATCTTTTCCCACAGTCACTTGGTGTTGCTCCGCTATCGAATACCCTACCACCTCATCACCATCACCGCCGCTCTTGCTGCTGGCGCGTGGCGCTGGTCCAGTTGTGGATGGCATCGACGATAAAAGTGAAGCAGCATGTTTCCCGCCAACTTGCTCTCTATCTGTTGCTGATACGCTTGCTGCTTCTGACTCCCCAGCAGGTTTCTGTCGAGAGCTAATACGCACGTGCGAACGGATCCGGTGAGATCGTTCCCAAGATGACGTGTGTGTGTGTGTGTGTGGGGGGGGGGAATGGGAGGAAGAGAGCAGCTCAAAGCAAAAACAAAGCACAGACACACACACACACACAGACACACACAGACACACACACACACAGACGCAGACACACACACACACACACATACACACAAACAGACGCAGACAGACATACACACACAGACACACACAACCGTGCTTACTCTGGATAGTGGTGCTGCATGGTGCATTTGCTGGAGCAGAGCAACCCGCCGCCATCGTGCGCGGCCCATCCAAACTCTATGCACCACATCACAGCCAACAGCAATACCAGCACCCAAGCAGTCGCAAACACACGGCCAGAGCAGCAGCATCAGCGGCACACACGCACAGACATACAGGAACAGGCAAAGGAGTGAGTGTGCTGCAAGTGCGTTGCTGTTGCTGTTGTTGTTGTTGTTGTTGTTGTTGTTGTTGTTGTTGTTGTTGTTGTTGTTGTTGTTGTTGCTGCTTCTGCCTCGAAGCAATGATGAGCATGACTGCATGCGTGCTTACCGCCTGAGCGAAAGCCTGGCGAAACTATCTGCCCTGCTTTGTTGAGGTCGAGCCGAGTGATCTCCGTTTGCATGTGGCGCTGACAAAAACAAGAAGTTTGGGCAGGGGTGAGTGTGAAGTTCAAACAGCAAGGGGAAAGGCAGCTCGGAGAGCTGTCGTCTTTTTGATTCTTCTTTGAACATGATTACACGCACTCATAAGCACATGCATCCACAAACGCACACCCACACGCATACGCAGATGCACGCACGCATACGCATACGCACGCACGCACACATCTGACCATGACTGAGAGGTTGGAGGACAAGACGCGCTGGCAGTAGTAACATTGCGCTGGCGTGCCAAGCTGAAGGCGAAACCGTGTCGATCTGGTGCAGTGTCAGCAGAAGAAGCAATATGCACGAGGAGGTGAATGCAATTGAGGGTGGAAGCAACAATGATTGGAGGAATCCACTTGAGTTGAATGTGAACGTGAGTGGATCGAGGAAAAGAGACCCAGGGGTCAAACATGGGCTCCGTCCATGCACACACAAGTGAATCAAATGCTGGATGGAAAACTTCACACACACACACACAATGCGTGCCATCCATACAGTGTCTCGCCAGTGTCTCGCCAGTGTCTCGCATTGTTCGTGCTTGATCACTTGCCTGTGCATGTGCATGTGCATCGATCCACACACACACACACACACACACACACACACACACACACACACACACACACACACACACACACACACACACACACACACACGCACACACGCACGTACGTATATAGGCATACCTGAGATAGGGCGTTTTGTTGACGTGCTTGCGGCACCAGAACCCCTTTTTCGAACATCCTTTGCAGCTGGCCACGCTTTGCATCAGCTTGGTCAACATGGCCTCGCGCTCACCAAACTCCATGGCCGTTGTTGTTGTTGTCGTGCGCTCCTGGCTGGTGGTGGTCATATCCGCTACAGATTATGGTGTCGGATGTCATTTCCTTGCGAACAGCAGCCAGTCAAACAGCGAGCGACCACCCTTCCGCCCCATCCACCCCACCCATTCTCCTCCTGACCGTGTGTCAGCTTGGAGTGAGGCTCTCCGACTACCGCCCCCACCAACACCAACACCATGGGTGAGCGCAAGGTGCTGAACAAGTACTACCCGCCGGACTTTGATCCGGCGAAGCTGCCGCGCATGCGGTTGGGCAAGGACCGGCAGTTCAAGGTGCGGCTGATGGCGCCCTTCAACATGCGCTGCAAGACGTGCGGCCACTACATCTACAAGAGCACCAAGTTCCTGGCCATGAAGGAAACAGTGCAGGACGAAACATACCTGGGGCTGTACATCTTCCGCTTCTACATCAAGTGCCCAACATGTTGCGCAGAGATCACGTTCAAGACCGACCCAAAGAACTCCGACTACGTGTGCGAGCACGGCGCGACGCGAAACTTCGAAGCGTGGCGCATGGCTGACAAGCTCGGCACCATCGACGACGAGCTGGAGGAGGAAGAGGAGGAGAACAACCCCATGCGCGCGTTGGAGGAGCGCACAAAGGAGTCGCGGCGAGAGATGGACATCCTCGACGCGCTGGAGGACATCCGCGACCTGAATGCGCGGGCGGCGCAGGTGGACATTGACACGCTCGTCGCCTCGCGGCAGAAGGAGGATGCGCATGAGCAGCTGACGACTGAGGAGCAGTTGCGGAAAGAGGAGGACGAGGCCATCGCCGCCGCGTTTTCCCGCGACAGGATCGTGCGGCGCCTGGAAGATGAGCCATCTGAGGAGCCCTCATTCTCTTCTTCGGCTACAAAGAACGCAAAGGCGAAGGCAAAGAAGAGCAAGAAGAACAAGGCGAGGACAACAGCAGCATCGCCATCGTCATCGTCGTCATCATCATTATTATCATCATCATCATCAGCGAAGCGGCGAGCAGCCGGAACGGCGTCGTTTGCAGAGACAGACACGGACCCAACGACCAGTAGCACAGCCACGACAACAGATGGGGCCACCTCGACTGCCAGGAGCGGGCCATCCTCATCTGCATCGAGCAAGCGGCCCAAGATGGTGCGTGCGCAGGACAAGAAGATTGGCACGCTAGGTGGCGGGCCACTGGCGGGGCTGGTGCGTGCAAACAAGAAGCAGCCAGACACAAAACAGCCAGATGCACAGCAGCAGCGGGCGTCACAGCAGGGCAGTGTGGGAAGGAAGAATGGCGGCGGTGGCCTGGGGTTGGTCGGTTACGGCTCCGATGACTCGGATGATTCAAGCGACGACAGTGACTGACACGTGTGTGTGTGTGTGTGTGTGTGTGTGTGTGTGTGTGTGTGTGTGTGTGTGTGTGTGTGTGTGTGTGTGTGTGTGTTTGTGTGTTTGTGTTGGGAGAGAAGTTGAGTGAATGAGTTTTGCGTGTGTGTGCCCTGCTTTGTTGGACGCACGCTGTGCTGTTCCGTGTTGCCTGTGTGTCACACATAAGTCATGCTTATTCATTGGTTTGATAAA